TAAGAGGTATATGCCAGGGACAAAATATAAATCCCCCAAACATGGCCCAAGTGACAATGACCTACTTCCTCTAGTCATACCCTATTGCCCTATAGTTAGCACCCAATTAATTCATTCAAGTGGATTAATCCATCCAGTAGATTTTAGCTTTCATAATCTAATCAATTCTATTCTTCCATTGTCTCACATGTGGACTTTTTAGGAGGATATCTCATATTCAAATCATAATATCCAGTCTGGAAAAATTCCAGGGAAGAACTTGGAACTGTCTGCTTTGGGTGCATGCCACACAGGAGCTGTGAGACCTTGAATAGGCTAAATGACAGTATAATTCTAATAATTGAATCTCCCTCATATGGTTATTGGGATGATCCATGAAGAGCATTTAAACACAACAACAAACATGGGCTGATGTGACCAGGTTGATGAAGAGCTATGATTAGCTGAGCCTAGTTAAAGATGCTCTGTGTATGGGAGGGGGGCTAAGACCTTTTCCAAAGGGTGCTGGGCTTAGCCAAAAGATAGCCACCTGTGCTAACTCAGGGTTTCCCTCCTCTTTGGCTGCATGTGCTCCCTTTTTGTTCTTAAAGAATGTTCAGTGCTCGACCACTTTTTCCTTTGATAGTTGTACTTTTAGCACTTTTATTAAAAAAAAATTTAAATGACATGTCTTCTTAGGCCTGGCACAATGCTGTCCTGAGCCTTATTTCTTTGAATGCATGATTTGGTGGATTCCAACTCCATACTTGTTCCTTTGGAGAATTAGCCAAATTCCTGGGTTGCACATTAGTAAGGCTTCCCTGGCCCTTATGTCTCTCCACCTAATCTTATAGCAGCTCCTAGGGCTTGATTGTTTAGTGTTCTGTTAAGCAGACACCTCTTTGAAGACATAGAAAGGGGTAGGAGGGCATATATTCTGTCAAGACACCCTGGGGAGACAAATATTTACTCAAGAAACTGGACAAATTCAAGCCTGTATATGTACCTCTACAGACATGTGTCTCAGAGAGATAAAGGAAAGGGATATTTACAGATTTTTTTTCCCTGTTCTTCCTCATCATCTTATCTCACAAGGAGCCTGTGGTGAGACTACATTCATGCTCATGTGTTGTTGGAGAAATGAAGGCTCAGAGGCAATCAGTAGCCCCAGGTTGCACATGCTTTTTCTGAGAAAGAGGAGAGGAAGAGGAGAACAAAGATGAGGAAGTATGGTAGTGACAGTGTGGTGATTTTGGACTTAATAGATTTTTTCAATTATTTATGTATTGTTCTATATGTGCTAATTATGTACTCAGCTCTGTGATAGATTATATGGAGTATTCAAAACTTTTTCTTGTTCAGGGAACTGAAAATCAATTGTGAAGACAGTCCAGAAAACAAAAAGAGACCAGGGTAAGTTTCATATAATTGATAAAGCTTTAATAGTGCATTAGGACACTAGGCAGAGGTCTCGTGGGCTGGGTGACACCTAGGAAGGGTCTGGGGAGAGGAAGATGACTCTTATCCTATGGTGTCTCATTTGGTATCTGGACCCTGGATCACACAAAATATACACACAGACATCTACTGTGTCAAACCATTTGGAGTTGCAGAGGGAATCCTCTCCTGCTTTAAAAATAAACAAGTGCAAATCCTGTTTGGGACAATGAACTCCAAGATAGAGAGAGGAGATGGTACAGATGCTCAATTTTTCCTTGATTTTCAAACTTCTGGGGGTTTTTTTGGGGAAAAAAAAAGGGCATCTTTCATGGACCAAAATCTATTATTTTGCTGAGAAAGCTGTTCTTGAGACTAAAAATGCTGACATTCCTGGGGAAAAGAAGAAAAAGCCAAATTCATGCCTTGAAGCAAATTTGCAAAAAATATGCATTTGTGTCTGCCAAAGCAGATTTTTTTTTCTCCTCTTATCCCCAAATGTTTTTTCCCATTTTCACCACAATGGACTATGTTTTAGGAGAGATGTAACCAATTCCTGATCCACTTAATAAAAGATGTGTTAAGAAGAAATTGACTCACTTTTGGTGTGTGAAATGTCCTTCCAATTCTCTTAGTGTAAGCATGTTCATGGGTAGAATATGACTCCTCGGTGGTCAGGAGATTGACCCTATTTACACTGCCAATTAGCTGTCAATTTGGGCAAGTGACTTTTCTCTCTGAGCCCCTTACCTCAGTTTCCCCACATGCAAAATGACTCCCAGTGGTACTCAAACTAAGGTTTGCAGGATTTTCTTAGGTGTCCCCTGAAGGTCAGGGACAACTTGCAGGGATTGAAACATAGGAACTATGATCTTCTTTGCTCCTATTTACTTCTTCAGGCAAAGCAGATATGCTTTTGTCTGTTTTGTAAAGTTACGCATTCTGATAAAATTGCTTTTATTTTTGATTGGTTCTTTTTACTTATACATAACAATAGGATTCATTTTGACATAATTATAAAAGCATGGAATATATTTTGTTCTAATTCAGTCGTTATTACTTCCCCCTTGCTTTTCCTCCTCACTCCCCCATTATTCATTCCCTCTACTTTCCTGATCTTTCTGCTATTTCCTTACATTTTTTTCTTTTGAAATTAGTGTCTTGTGGATGTACGTGATTGTGAGATTTGCTGTGCTATATTTATATATGTACATAGGAAATTTAGGTCAGATTCATTCCACCACCTTTCCCTATCCCATCCCTTCTTCCTTTCCTTCAATCCCCTTCTCTACTCCACTGCTTGCTCTTCTATTTTAACCGCCCCCATTTATTTTAGAATAGCTTTTGGATATCAGAGAAAAGAAAACATTTGACCTTTGACCTTTTGAGACTTGCTTATTTCACTTAGCACAATAGTCTCCAGTTCTATTCATTTACTGGCAGATGGCATAAAGTCATTCTTATTTATGGGTGAGTAATACTCCGTTGTGTATATATACCACATTTTCTTTATCCATTGGTCTGTTGAAGGCATCTTTGTTGGTTCCACAGCTTGGCTATTGTGAATTATGCTGCTATAAACATTGATGTGGCTGCATCACTGTAGTATGTTGATTTTAAATATTTTAGCTATATCTGGAGAATTGGGATAGCTGGATCATATGGTGGTTCCATTCCTAGTTTTTTTTAGGAATCTCCATAGTGCTTTCCAGAGTGGTTGCACTAACTTGTAGTATTACAAATTAGTAATGTAGGAGTGTACACACAATGCATAAGTGTATCCACATCCTCACCAACATTTAATGTTACTTGTATTTTTTATTTCTTTGTACCAGGGATTGAATTCAAGGGGGCTTAGTTACTGAGCTCCATCCCAGGCCCCCCTTTTTATTTTTTATTTTGGGGCATGGTCTTGGTAATTTGCTCAGGAACTTACTGAGGCTGGCTTTGAATTTGCAATCCTTCTGCCGAAGCCTCCTGAACTGCTGGGATTACAGGCATGTTCTACCATACCTGATTTATTATCTTGATAATTACCATTATGATTGGAGTGAGAGTAAATCTCAGTTTTAATTTGTATTTCTTTAATTGCTAGAGATGGTGAACATTTTAAAATACAATTGTTGACCATTTTTATTTCTTCTTTTGAGGACTGTCCATTCAGTTCCTTTCTGATTTATTGATTTATTTGATGTTCAGTTTTTTGTATATCCTGGCTACTAATGCCCTATCTGAGGAGTTAAAGAAAGATTGTGCTGATTGATCTCTTTCATTCTATTACCTCATGGCTTTAGGTCTTCAAACTTAGTGCACTTACCACATTTGGATCCACCACTGCTCTGAAACAGATGTTATTCTTTTCCCAACTGAATTTATCAATAGAGGTGGGGGCTACCTGATTGTGCATGAGAAAAGCAATGGGTCTTCAGGGTTCACAGCTGCCCTGAACATCCTGATGGAAGAGAGATGCTGTCATAGTCACAAGAGATTTGATAACACTAGTTGTATTCCTGCTATGGACAGCTTAACCATAGGTGCAGCCTAGATTTCAGGAAGTCCTAACTACACCTCAAAGCAAAAAACTCTGCCCACTTATGTCTAATAATTGGCATTCCAATAGCTGAAGTTGGAATTATAGTTGTAATCTTAACCCCACGGATGTGTTGTTGGCCTTGTGGATGATTCCCTAGACAATGAAGTGTGTGTGCGTGTATACACACACATACACCTGTGCGCATGCACATATAGACAGACAGACAGACAGACAGACACACACACACACACACACACACATACTTTTTCACTTATTGAATAATTGAGAAAAAGGTTCTTCAGGAAATAATAGCCCATTTATGGGGCATCCTGCAAAAGTAAAAAAAAAAATAGTATAACTCCCAGGTTCTCAGCAATTTCCACCTGCTCTTCTGGAACACTGTTTATAGGAGTTGATTTTTAAAACTTAGGTGGAAACTTCTACATTTCCTTTGTGAATCCCAGGGTTTTCCATTGTTGGCTCCTGTCTTCAGTTTAGGATTTTGTTATTCATCCTGGCTATACCTCTTTGGAATCATCTCAGGCAGACACCTGAGGAGATCACTTTGTGAGAATTCACACTGTTGGCTTCATCTTAGGCTGCAAGACTCTGAGGGCTGTGTGTGGGCAGGAAGGCCCTCAGTGAGTAATCATCAAAGGAGTAAACAGACAGATGAATGAAAGGCTAGGTCAAGGAGAGCCCTCAACACTCCACAGAGGTGGTCAACACACATTCCATCATGAATCTACTTCCTGCATGCCTAGACTGTATGCTGGTCTATAATTCTCCATCTTATCTTCATATCATGAGCTATTTTGTTAAATCACTCAAAAAAAATTAACACATGTTTGAGTCTAAAGAAAATGAGAATTTTTACTCCAACTTTCCCTTCATTCCTTTCATCATTTCTTTTAACTCTACTTGCTCTGTGCAATTGTTCTGTGATGTAAGAAATTCCAATTGTTTTCTTCACCTTAGAGTAGAATTTTAGCCTGAGCCTAAAGATCTAATTTAAAGGGTTTATATATTAAAATTCCAATTAAATACACACATAGGCACAAGCCCACAGACTGATGGAATGATAGAGAAAATATGACTAGTACTTAATAATGATCATCACTGGATAGTGGTTCATAGATATTTATTATTCTTTTCTTTCTGCCTTTTTCTTTTTTCCCAATTGTTTTATTAAATGTATGAATTACCTGTGTTGTAAGAAGACATAGAGATTTTATAAAAGTGGATATGTGCTTTACCACCGCCCTTTCACTTACATTGGGATTTAATTCCCTTCTAACCTTATTATTCTACCTGTCAAGCTAGTTTATTACTATTTGTCAGAGGAAACAGAGTAAAATAGAAAGGACTGAAATTTCTCACTACTATCTCTTAACTTGTTATTATCTGCAAAAGACCATAGGTCTTATACTTCCCCTAGGTCTCAAAAAAATCACACTTGTTATTTTTGGTGCAAACTTTTAATATCTTGACTCTGTTTTGAGCTGCAGCCTTCCTGGTACTATTTATGTGGAGTCTTGTGGTTTATAGGCTGCATATATATATATATATATATATATATATATATATATGCATAAAGTTATAAATGTTTAGTAAGCATAAATTTATAATCACATATTTTATATATGTTTACCTATACAATATGTGTTATACAGTGTAATATTATAAAACTGATTGGGATAACTAGTTTTATGGTGTCTCTACCCCCGGGAAGTACTCATTTTAATTGGGATGTTGAAGTTTCATATAGAGAGCCAGAATGGGCCATCTGATAATATGCAAGCAAAGATGAGGCTGTATAAAGCAAATTATAAATGTTTCCAAGAAATCTTGATGAAGGTCAAGGAAAGAAACATTAGACTTCAAGGCCAACATGAGCAAATTGTGGAGAGAGTTGTCTTTTCCTAATGTCCAATGAGGTACAAGGCATGCCATTGGGGAACATAGGAAATACACTGAAGGCCAAGTGCTGAATCAATGCTGAATGTAGAACACAGCGGTTCCCACCACTGGGATCATTGTGGGAAGACATTCTGTCAGATAAAATTTCTTAGTCAAATATTACACATGGGCACCTGTGGAACTGAAATGCGAGATTTTTTTCCCCTAGTATTGCCCACCCCCACCTCTACGCTTGCTTCCAATCCTATCACTCCTCCTTCAAGTTCTGTGCCCTTCTGCCAGATGTTGTCACCTGTCTTTTCTTGGAAGGCCTGGGTAATGTTACACAGCTGAGCCCGGCAGGCTCCTGCCCCAGGCCAAACAAACAAACAGAAGAGAAATCTTTCAGGCCGGGCACCTGGGAAAAGTGATCTTGATGCCGTCCATGGCATGAGCTGAGGCAATTGATGACTTGGCATTCTGTCCCCGCGTCATCAATCATACAGAATCAATCTCCACTCCCTCAGGAGCTAGCCCCCGGCTCACATAATTCTCTCTCCCTGCCACCAACCTGAACAGTCTGATCCCAGTGGTGGGAACTGTTTTGTTCTGCGTTCAGCATTGATTCACTTGGCCTTCAGTAGTATTTTCTACATTCCCCAGAAATGTCACTTAATTTATCCTCTCTGAGTTGGCTACGTTGCCTGGGCCTCACTGCATCAAATGGAGCAGGCAAGCGCAGAAAAGTGTCTAGCTTCTCACCTCAAAGGCATGTGCCTTGAGGTCCCCAGACCTGAAAATCAGGGTGCACTGTGCTCTGGCTCTGCCTCTCAGCAGTGAGTCTGAGGCAGGGGCTAGAGCAGAGGCCAGGACCAGGGACTTTCAAGTCAGATGGCTGTGTGTGTTTCCAGGACTGCTACTTCCTAGCTTTGTGAATTCCAGGTTGGTCCTTAAATGTCTTGTGCCTCAGTGTCCTCATCTGTTAAATGGTGATAATAAAAACACCTACTCCTGAAGCTTGCAGGATTAAATTAGGCAAAGGACAAAGTACTTATCACATTAGTGCAGAGGCGTACATGCTCAGCTCAGTAGGTGTAAGTTACTCTCCTTTTAGAATACATTTAGGATTTGTAGGGTTGACCCATACACTCAATAAGGTGGTCATGAGAGAAAAGGCTTTAGAATGGTGCCTTTTCCAGAAAGAACTATTCTTCTTCTAGTTCTAAAACCCCCACATTCACTCACTTTCATATCTCAAAATGTGGGACTTCTCTTCCCGTGCAAAAGGGAGGGGGTCCTACAAAAACTAGATGCACAGAATGTGTCACATAGTAGGTGGTACAGGAGGTGGAGGGAGCTAAAATGAAACTTTGTGAACTCTGCAAATTTTCCCAAGGCAGCATGGAGGAATGTGCATGGATGAAGGGAGAGTGAGCATTTTTTCTACACAAAGACCTGCTCTGAATCCTCCTTGTAAAGGGACACTTTCTGATAGATCACATGGACTTTCCAGGACATGCACATGTGCAATGAGTTTTGAGAGGGCCAGGCTCAGCCCCCTGGGAAGTGGCACTGCCCTGGAAGGGACAGCAGAGTGTGATGGAGGCAGCTGTGGAAGTTCAGAGGACTTCTTTCCCAGTCTAGATCTTAGGTTGTCTCTGCATCTGTCTGTCCCTCTTGCTTAGCAACTGGAATTGTCTTTTCCAAGAGATTTTGAGGCTGCTTTATTTGTTAGGAGACAAGGAGGCACTAATAAATTCCTCTGTGTGAGGTATTTAATTACATAATAATGTGTACACTAATCAGGGTAAATGTGTTTGTGAAAACACCTTGATATGGGAACAGTTAATCACCCAAGGCATTGCTTCTTAACACACCTTGGAAGTTAACTTAATTAAATTAATTAGAACAATGAAAAAATTGAACTGTTTATTGGTCCACAATGGCCTGAAGAAATGCTCCCCTCAAATGCAGGAACATCTTCCATACTGCGAACGATTTTTCCCCAAACTCTCAGCCCTTATGGTTATGGCTACACCCCAGGAGCTTGCAGCCTGCAAAGCCTCCCCCTGTGCCTTACCTTAGAGTCATTTCCTGTTGGAGACATAAGGCAATCAGTCTACGTGCCTGAACGCACGCACACGCACACACACACACGCTTGCACCCAACCCACCAACACACCCTTTTTGTGCACTTCACCAGAAACACAGAGAAATCCAGTAAGCTTTTACCCAGGATTCCATGGGTGTACAGTGTTCAGGCCGCCATTGTGAGGGCCAGACTGTGTATTGTAAAGGGAAGAAGGGAGGCGTGCTTCCCGAAGGATGGTTAAAATCACTGTCATCAACCGATATCCTTAGGGTTGTCTGTTAATGATGGTGTTGATAATCTGAATTTGCATAGTGCTTTAAAAAGGGTACTACTTCTTAATCCTCGCTTCTGGTCTTCTTGGTCTTTGTCTAGGTAACCCAAAAGGAAAGGGACCTGCCTATGGGAGGTCTATGGCTGTGGCATCCAACCCCAACAGGAACAAATGGATGAGCTGTTCTGACAACTGAGCAGACCTTGAATAATGTGCACCTGAAGTCAACCACTGGAGAGTGAGCTTGTGCAGGATGGAAAGGGAGGGTACCTGAGGGAGGGAGACTTATCTGGGGAGAGGAATGCTCAGACCTTAAAGGTCAAGATGGATGCTGGATCCAGAGACTTGCTGCTGTCCTTGTGGAAGGGGAGACGTTAATGAAGAATCAGAGTTGCCAGGTGTGAGCTCACAGAACAGAGTCTCAACTGCTCTGTCCTTCTACTCTGCCAGGACCTCATGAAGCCAGACAGTGGAGAACCTGGGTGATTCCATCCACAGAAGTCACCTGGGATCCAGTGGAGCTGGAACAAATGGAGCATGTCCAACTGAGGCCACCTGAGAGTAACAGAAAAAAATATTCTGTAACAGGGAATAAATTAAAAAAAATCACCATGAAATTTATTTGGATGATTCCTTTCTGCTGGGACCATAAAGCTTCAGTTCTCTATTATTTAAAATCTCCATATATTACAACAGAGACTCTTGCTTAAGTTACTGCCAAGCCATAAGTTGGGTTTGTAAAATATCTCACCAAATAATCCTCCATTTGTTTGTGTTTGGGGGTGAGCCCTGGGGAGTAGATAGGGATTTTCTGTGAACTCAGTAAGAAGGCTAGAAAAGGTCTAGGCTCAGCCCCCCAAAAAAAGACAAAAACAGAAGAAACTCACCATAGGACAGCACTGAGCAGCCAGGCTCTGTAGAGATTAGCCTTGGGCTTTCTTTGTGTGACCAGGTTTCCAAGTTCCTGGACCTAAATTAGATCGGCCATGGCCAGGCAGACCTCCACTTACCAAATAGTCCAAACATACCTTATATCACTCATCAACAAATAAATAACCTATACTAAATTTCTGATATCATGGAGATACATTATCAGACATGATATAGATTAGAGTCTAGTAAGGAATTTAGATGAGGCCAATAACCTCAGCAGAAAGAATTATGTGATGCACACTACTTGGAAGACCCAGCTCCATTCCTTCCATTTTAATATTTATGGCACAGAGGAAGTCTTAACTACTCCTGGGAGCTTGCTTCTATTGCTACAAGACACACAATCTCTGTATTCTTGTGAACCTAGAAGCTGAGCACAACCCCCACCCACAAACCATGATGGTTTCTTCATGGGGAGATGTGTTTCTCCCATATCTACCTTGATTGGATGCCATTCCATTTTCATAAGTAGTTTCATGTTGCCTATCTGTGTTCTGGTGAGGGTACTTTCCAACCAGGGCCTGGGGACAGACACTGAGGGCTGCCATCTTTTCTCTCAGAGATCTGCCCCAGTACCCAGAGAGGTCAATACAGAGGAGTCAGATCTCCTAACCGTGTGAGAAGTTCTGTCTAAACTCAGCCCACTTGCAAGGAGTCCACACTCACTGTACAGATGATCTGAGTTTCCCAGCTATTTATCCATCTCTAAGTTAATATTTTTCTCAGAGATGACCATGGAGGAAAGATGTGAGTGTATTGGAAATGGTCCTCTGTGCCTCATCAGCTCAATCCCCCCATAATTACAGCCCCATCAGATGGGAAGGACAAATGTGTTCCTGGAACAGGATTCTTTAGCACTCCTCCTTCATTACCTGGCTCTCCCTCTCTTCCAGCTCTTGCTTTAGCTACTTCCTGCTTTCCCCCATGTATCTTTGGACCTGAAGACCTCAGCCCTAACCTGTGGTCCTAGTGGAAGCCTAAGGGTGCTCTGGATTTTCTGTATTATCCCTATATCTTCATTCCTGAATATTCTTAGTTCTCTAATGTATTATGCCCCTTAAGGAGCCCAAAAGACAAACAGAGAGAGAGGGCGGGGGATCCTGTTTAGGGCAGTTCCAGGTTTAAGGTGGATCCTGCTGGGAATAGGGCATATCCTGCTGCCTCAGGCACCCACTCCTTGAGTTCCCGTTGAGTTCTCCTGGGATTCAGAGAGTATTTGGGATGCAGAGCCCGGTGGAGGTGTGGATTTTCCCAGAACGTGCGTGTAGAATGCCGGTGGATTTTCCCAGAACTTGCTGTAGAGTGCTGGTGAGAGTTCAAGAATAAAGAGTTGCTGTTTGAATCTACAAGGCTGTGAGTGGCTCGTGATTTTGTGCCCAGCCAGACTGCGGCAATACCTTTCTCCTGGAAGTTCATCCATAAAGCAGGGAACAATACTTGGTGCAAGGAGATAACACATGCCCAGAGGGAACTGCCGGCCAGTGCAGGAAGAAGCTGACTCTGGGGACCCTGTTTTATCTGGAGGTCACATGCCTTCCAAGATTACAGAAGCTGCTGAAGATTTTGAGTTATCTGTGTGACTCCATGTTCCGACTGGGCCAAAGCTGACTTCTGGTAGGAAGTCTCCTCTCTTTAGCTCACTTTGGTCTGTGACTGTTTGGTTCAGTCTTGCCATTTGATTCTGTTTAATACATTACAACCTCTTTAATTCAAATGTATGTTGAGATCTGAGTGCCTTAAGAATCTTCATGTATGAATGGTAGAGCACTTTCCTAACATGCATGAGACCCTGCACCCAGCACTGCAAAAAAATAAAAAAAAAAAGTATTTCATTTTATTTTGCTCAAGTGGGCTGACTGTCCCAATAAATAAGGCCAAAGGAAGCTTTTTTACAGTCTGGATCTTCTCTGTTATTATGGGCAGAGTTTGAATACTAGGTTCCTTCTTTGCCTTCTGAACTAGGGAAGTGGTTGAACAAACCCAGAGGTTCAGGATTCCTTCTCCCTGCTTTTCTACTTCAAGCCTGTCTGAATCTATGCTGGTCCCAAACAGAAGTCATTCATCCATCCATGGTATCCATTAATCGACTCCCCATTGATTCATGGATTAGTCAGATCACTTTTACTAGTGGCAGTTACTATGCTAAATTCTGGGATTACAATAATGAATTTGTGAGAAAAATTCCCCCCATGGAATAGGACAAATTCTTTTTAATCCTGTCCTTCTTCACCTGCCAAAAGGGCTTTCTTATCATCCCCAACCTGTTCAGTTTCTCTAGCTGCCCTACTTTTCACTCCCTTATTCCTACTTGAAGTTGCATACCATGTTCAGGAGTATAGAATTTGCCCCGGAGTGCAAGAGCGGGTGATAATTCTCCCTCTTCCTAACTAAAAATGCAGAGTTTTTCTATCTTCAAACATTAGTTAGTTGATTGACAGTCAGATGCAGCATCTTTTCTCTTTCTGAGTTGGCTCTTCCTAACATTTTCCCCTATGTGAGCCTCCATGTTTTCCAAATTGCATTATGGAAAGTCCAATAAGGTAATGAGGCTCTCCCTGAGGTTCACTTTTCTCTTTACTGGATATTTTTGACATCAAGTACCATGACGAAGGAAGTTTGAGGATAAATAAGACATAGAGTTTGGCTCCAAGCAAATTACGACCCAGGTGGTAATTTATACACATATAATCTAACTAGACAAAAAGGACAAAAATGAAAAAGAGAAACTCTTTCCTACTGTAGGATAAGTGTGAGGATCTTCAAGACTTTAGAGGCAGGACTTTATCAGACATTAAAGGATGCTTAGCATAGAGGAGAAAACACCTCTGTATTCCATTCCCACATACACATAAGGCCTGCCTGCTCCTGCCAGTACTTCCTAGCTCATTCTACTCCATCAAGAAAGAAGAAGTAGCCCAATCATGAACCAAGCAATTGGGTTTCATTTCCTGGTGAAATTTCAAAGGCTTAGCTTCTTCTGCTGCTCTTGACATCTTCTTCAACAGGAGGCTAGATGGACCTGTTAGGTGAACTGGCGCTGGCAACATTGTGGCTTGCCTTTTATACCTCACTGGTGAACATAGCCAGGGGGATCACTTGTATCCCTGATCACCCTGCCAATCTGACCCTCATGCTTCCTCTCTTTCTTCAAGAGAATTTTCCTTTGTTTTCATGCAGAGAATGATAACATTGCCATCATATTATACTGGCATTCCTTGCTGGGGCTGTGACCAACAGTTCCACGTACTTTTCCAGACCAGAGCTATCTGCTGTATTGTAGCTTCCTGGGGACTTTGCATGAGGGTGTGCATCCTTTACATGCTGCCTGGTTTTGTTAGGCATCTATGATGTCCAACTCTCTCTTTAACCTACAATGTTGATATGAATAATGCTGTAAATTGTATTTTGTTTGTTTATTTTTTTTTGCACTAATATATAATGGTAGAGTAGAAAATGTTTTTTTTTCTTTTAATTTTCTTTATTTTTCTTTTTGAACAAAGGAACACATCATTCAAGTATGGATGGTGTTTGGTCTTGTTTCTCAGCATACCTCTGGATGTCCTCATACATACATTCTCTTTGGAACCTCAGTAAATGGAGGCATATTTATATCAGTTTGCCTTACTATCAGCTATCTAGACTTGTTCCAGCCAGGTCATGTCTACCTACTCTTTCCTCCTTCACCCTACATAGGGTTAGTCTCTAAGTCCTGTTGACACTCCCAGCCTTTCCCTTTTCTGCTGGGGCTCTCCTCAGGGTATGTCTGCATGTTGGCAGAAGCCCTCAGTCAAGCTCTTTGCATTGAAGCCCCAGTGCAAGCAGACACATCTTGCCCAGGACCTGCAGGTTATATACTCCTAATACAAGACATCCACATTTGTGCTTTTAGACTCATTTTCTGTAGCATTCACATATTCTAGCTTTTCCAGAATATGAGTTTACTGTTCCTATCCAAGTTCACCTCTCAACTTTCTCCTGTATCAATGGCCAATTCCGATCAACCCCACCATGAACATTCTGTCAAGATTAAAGTACCACCGGCTCTGAAATGTCTTCAAAAGTTTCCAAACAAACATGATTCTCTTGAAGACTTGATGCCTTTCCCTATAATCATTGTGAAGCTGTTGTGACTAATCGGAGGACATAAAACCCTTCAGTGGTTAATGATTAAAACTTGAGGTGAGAAATCAACAAATGAAAGGATGGTATTATGTGTGAAGTTTGATTATAAAGCAATGTCTGTGCCATAGAACAATGATAGAGGAGTTCAGCTAACAGGTGCCTTTTACCACTGTTAGGACTGAATGTTTGCGTACCCTCTAAATTCATATATTGAATTCCTAATTCCCAGAGTGATCTAATTATTTAAGAGATAATTAGATCATGAGGTGAAGCCTTCATGAATAGGATTAGTGCTGTTATGGTTTGGATATGAGGTGTCTCCCAAAAGCCCTTGTGTTAATACAGGAGGTGAAATGATTAGATTATGAGAACTATAACCTAATCAGTGGATTAATCTGTTTGATGGATTAATAATTTGATTGGAATATAAGGTGGTAACTCCTGGCAGGTAGGGTGTGGCAAGAGGAAGGAGGTCACTGTGGGTATGCCCTTGGTTGATTATATTATGTCTCTTGCTCCTCCTTCTCTCTTTCTGCTTCCTAGCTAGCTGGAGCTAAATAGCTTTCCTCCACCATGCTCTTCTGCCATGATGCTCCACCTCACCTTGGGCCCAGAGATATAGAGATGACTGGCCATAGACTGAGTCTCTGAAACTTTGAACTCAAAATAAATGCCGCCCCCCAAGTTGTTCTTGTTGGTATTTTGATGACAGTGATGAAAAGCTGAGTAGCATGAGTGCCCTTTCCAAAGGAAGAGTCCTTTCTCTTTTTCTACCATGGGAGGAGACAGGGAGATGTCTCAGTAGTATGCAACCTGGAATAGGGATCTAACCAGAATCAAATATGCTGAAAACCTGATCTTGGACTTCCAGCTTCCAGAATTGTGAGAAATCAACTTCTATTGTTTGTAAGTATCACAATGCTATGGCATTTTCTGACAGCAGCTTGAATTGACAAAGATAGACATCAACCTAAATTCTTTTTTCTTTTTGCTTTTGTCCTGTAAAGTGGAGTATGACATGATATGTAATTGACATAAGGCAAGGCAAAAAACAAAAAAACCCCAAAAACCAAAAAACAAAAAAATCCCGGAAAGATGCACATTATGTTGGTCCTTGTGCCCAGTTCTAGAAACACAGACGTAATGGCCAAGATGGCAAAAGAACTAAAGACATGAAGACTTGAATGAGGCTTTTTGGCTCTCCTAGGCTTTCCAAATCCACCCCCCCCTTTTTAACTTAGAATCGCTTATAGACAATAGATCTTAGCAGCTTCACTGTGATTAGCAGTCATGGTTCATTGCTACCAGTTTTGTATAGCTTGGACTTTGGGTTATTCTTATCCTTTTAGATATTTCCACCCTGGGAAAGTTGAAAGATTGGGAGCTATTTAATATGAAATAGGTAAGAAGAGGGAAACTCGAGAAGTGATATTAAATACTTGTGGACATCTTATGTAGGAGAGAAGAAACTGGGTCTTTTAAAAATATTCTTAAAAAAATATTTTCTCTTCCAGATGAAAAAGCCCAGTGAACTTGGGGGAAGATCTAAGTGGCCATGGAAGAACTTATGTGGGTCCTAACCATCTGAAAGCAGCTTGGGCTGTTACTGAAAGACCATGCTTCTTGTCCTAGGTTGTTGCAGTTGAGTTTGAAGATGCCTTGAAGGGGCAGTGGAAGGTTCTATAGGGAAGACTGGAATTCTAGAGTCTTAAGTCTTTCCTAGCCCACGGAATTTGCCATTCTGTCCATTGTTAGTATGCTTTTTACTTCCTGCATAGTTCTTCCCAGTGTTGAAATGAACCTAGATTAGCAGTTAAAATTATCATTGTCTCATAATAGATGTTCAATGAAATTTCAGCCGGACAGATAAACATCACTCTGTGTAAGATAAAATAAAATTTCAAAGTAAACATTCTCCCAATAAAATTGTGTAACTATTTTAGAACCAAGAATAAATGGCTCTGAGTTTATCCACTCCCACTGGAGGAGCTGAAACCTACCTGTTCTATGGATGCTATTTATCAAAGTATTTGTATGCTCTGAGGCACTGGTATGTGCCAGCAGAGTGACACTGAGCCCTAATCATGATATTGTGCTTTACATGGTGGCTTTACATGGTGGAGTTTACTTTTCAGCTAGGGATGGTGAACTGGGCCTCAAGGCCCCACAATTATACAGATTTTATAAAGAAATAGCAACCCCACTGGGAGACATTAGAGTGGGA